ACACAAAACCACAACGAAGAGACACAAAACCACAACGAAGAGACACAAAGACACACAAAACCACAACGAAGAGACACAAAGACACACAAAACCACAACGAAGAGACACAAAGACACACAAAACCACAACGAAGAGACACAAAACCACGTTGAAACGAATTAAATCCACTATGAAGAGACACAAAACCACAACAGAGATGCAAAACCACCACAAAGACCACCAAGACATGACAAGAAACAACACAAACCGACAGAAAGTAGCTACAAACATGCAAAAACCACTTTGTAGAAACAAAAAAACACCACAAAGAGACACAACATTACAACAATACATAAAATGGTAACGAACAGACACAAACTTACACAGAGGGACGCGCAAAACACCACAAAGAGACACAAAACACATCGAGACACGACGAGGATTCCAAAAATCACCACAAACAGATGCAAAAATACCAGAAAGAGACACAAATGAAACAACAAAGAGACTCAAAACCACGACAAAGATGCACAAAACCTCCACAAAGAGACGCAAAACTACAAAAAGACAACTACAAATAAAAACAAAACCTCACGATGAAGACTCAAAGCGACCCTAAAGTCACACAAAACACCAAGAAGAGATGCAAAACCAACACGGTGACGACAAAACACTGCTTAAAGAGGCAGAACCACAACAGAGAGACACAAACACACAACAAAGACACGTAAACCCACTATGAAGACACAAAACAGCTTTGAAGAGACACAAAGCTTCACTCTGAAGATGCAAAACCACCCTAAAGGGAAACAAAACCACCAAAACGAAACTAAAATCCACCAAAATAAAAGCCCTGCATACAAAGCTACAAAGAGACGGAGAGGAGCTGCAAACATGCAAAGACAAACAAATCCACTGATTAGATTCAGTGTCAGAGTGAAGTGTGGAGCTGCTGCTGTGGCACTGATCAATGATTGATGACTTATTGATGAATGATTGATGATGGATCAGTCAGCCTGGGTTTGATCTGATCGGGGTGGTCGTAAGCGGACGCTAAGTGTCTCTAATTCGCTTCCAGCCGCTTCTTAAATGTGATTATCGAGCCGGTATCGATCCGTCATCGGTCGGGCCGCGGCGGAGACACGGAGCGTCCCGCCGCGGGTCCGCGGGCCTCCGACTGAGAAACTCTGTCATGCGGAGCAGCGGGGAAGGAAACAAAGTGAGCGAGAGACGGCTCATTTGACTAAAGCGGGAGGCGGCGGAGACATCATCATCATCATCATCATCATCATCAGTCACCCTCCTCACCCCGGGGCGGCGATGACGTCAGCAGGGCTTTATAAGAGCCGCCGGTACCGGACGGAGGCAGAAGCTGCTCCGGTGGACCGACAGACAGACAGACCGACAGCCAGACAGCCAGACTGACAGACCGGTGATGAAGATGTCCTCCTCCTCCTCCTCCTCGCTCCTCCTGCTGCTGCTCACCTTCACCGCCTCCATCAGCTGCTCCTCCGCCGCGCAGAGAGACTCCAAACTCCGCCTGCTGCTGCACCGGAGCCCGCTGATGGGCTCCAAGCAGGTCCGGCACACACACACACACACACACACACACACACACACACATAGAGACACACAAACTCACACAGATGCACAAAGACACACAAAAAACTCACAGAAATACACTCAGAGAGACACAAATGCACAACAACCTACAGACACACAAACATCACACACCGACATGCAAATACACACATAGACACACACTTTGAGACACAGACACACAACAAAACATACAGAGATACACAAAAAGACACAGAAATCACACACCAACATGCAAACACACACACACACACACACACACACACACACAAAGTCACAAAATCACACAGACGCACACAAACAGACACACACCAGCACAGACAAACACACATTCCATCAGACGACTCGTTCAGCCTGAAATCAGTGATTTTAATCTGAATTTGTTCAAAGTTCTCGTTTCTAAACGACTGACGTTAAATAAAACTGAATAATAACCAGATTTAAACACTATTCATGGATTAAACTGTTGAATTCAACTTTCATTTATCTCTGACATTTAACAGATTCTTTAAGTTTAAGACGTTTTAACGAGAACATGTCGACTAATTAATGACTTCTGATGTCTTTAGATCATAAATATCTCATGTTAGTGCTGCAGCTGCTGAAATGTGTTTTTATTCAATGTGAAGCTGCTGCAGCAACATTTCAACAAAAGATTGAACTTTTATTGGAACTTAAACTGTGATTTAGGCTAAAAACATGTTTCCTGACAGACAAAAACACAACAAATGATCCAAAAACTAATTCAGCTTCTGGAAAATTCAGCTTTATTTACCGATCGATAGACGTATTGATCTGATTGAACCTGCAGGACAACAAATAACTCAGAAATAAACAGAATAAAAGACAAAAAAATCCTCGATTTGGTGCAAAGTTCAGCTTCTGTTGAAACGATTCAACTTTAAATCCAGATCAAAGTTTCTGGTTTTAGTCAGAAGTTGACGCTGAAGCTTCTTCTTCTGACAGAAGAAACAGAAACAAGCTGCTAAAGACCTGAAATGTTTGTCTGCTGCTGAAAAGAACAAAAAAATCTGATTTAAATCCTGAACTTTAAACACAAACGATCGAGTCTGAAGCGTCTTTAGTTCCTTTGTTTCTCTGCACTCGACTGAATTCTGCAGAATCCTGTTTGGTTGTTTCTGGAGTTTGTGTTTTAGCAGAAATCAGACGTTCAGAAGGAACAAATGTTCTTATTTCTGCTCTTTGGTTTGAACAAATCAAATGAAAACTTAAATATTTTAGCTGATTTTAGATGCAGCAGCTCTGAACGTGTTTCTTTATCGTTAAATCCTGACCTGAGACCAACAGTCGAGTCTTCAGCGTCCTGATTTTCAGACGTTTGAAGCTAAAATGAGGCTTTTTGTGGATCTGAGGAGCTTTCTGCCTCAACGATCACATTTCACCGCTTAACTGGATGTTTTCTGTCGTTTCGCTGCAGCTGCTCAGAAATCAGCGACTTCTTCTGATTGAATCGTCTTTAAAATGTTCATTAAACTTGTGCAGAATGTTTCTGATAGTTTGTGGAGAAGCTCGACGTGGTTTAATATCAGCTGATCGATGCTGAAACGTTTCGTCTCTGCAGGATGATCGTCAGACTTTAATCAGATCAGCAGCTTCAGTTCAAACAGAAACCATCTGGAAGTAAAATAAATCACATCTGAACTCGTCTTGTTGAGTTTTACAGAAAATTGTTGAACGTTTACTGACTAAAATCATTCATCTGATCGTTTTTACACAAAATAAATCATTTATTAGGAAACAAGAACATGAACGTCTTTCTTTGGATTTTTATTTATTTATTTGCCTTTTTGGCAAATTAAATAACTGCATGCACGTAAATAATACAATTAAAGTTACTTTAAATTTAAAATAACTGAACAATTTAATATTATTTTATATTATTTTCTCTGTTTGGTTCAATTACGGCTAATAAATAGTAAAATAATCACAAAGAAACGGCATTAATTTCATTTTAACCCTGAAAAAAAAAAGGAATTTAAAAAGAAAAAATTACAAATAATTTGTTCTTTTACGTTTGACCATAAAATTCTTACTGTATTTAAATCAGCAAAAATATAATTATTATTTTACAGATGTTTTGTCATTTAAAAGAAAAAAAACACGTGTATTAGGGGATTTTAAATAAAGCTAAATTATTATTTAAAAAAAATATCATTTTACAGATTCTCCCTGTTTTGTTAAATTGCAGAAATATTTTTTTTAATTATAGAATTAAAGTAATAATTTATGTCAGCAATAATAAAACAGCCTGTAAATGATGTTCATATCAAAAATGATCATAAGTTTTACTGTTTTTTGTATTTAAATCAGCAAAAAAATCCAATTATTTTACAGATAGTTGGTTCTTTTTAAATAGTTTTTTAACGTATTTATTGTGACGAGCTTGCCGTCAGGTTTTTATGCTTTTTACAGGTTTTGTCGTTTATTTTTGATTATTTTTTTAACTGTTGTTTCCTAAAATGTGCCTGAAGCTTCAGACTCTCTTTTTTTTTTATTTTTTAATAATAAGTCACATTTAAACCACAGGAACTCTGAGACAAACCGTCTGTGTTTTATTCTCCAAACTCGTGTGAAGCTTCAGACGTTCGGCTCAAACTCTGAACAGCTGAACGTGGAGGATCTCAGTTTAAACAGATTAAATGTCGTCGCTTCAATAAAAAGACGCTTTTATGAATTTAACAAAAGCAGCAGCTTGAATTCAGTCGAATCAGCTTCATGTCATAAATGTGAGTTTCTCTGATTTCTGCTTCGTTAAACAAAAAACATCAAACGTTTGTTGAACAGGTTTTATTCCCTCAAAGTGATTTTCTGTCCTGCAGTTTAGTTTTAATTCATCTGAGCTTTTATCAGGTAAAACGAAGCTGTCGTCACTAAATCGACTTTTATTTATCCTGGTTTCAGCACAAAGAAAAACAAGAAAAACCTGCGTTAAAAAAAATGTTAAAAAGCAAAATAATTAAACCCCAAAGAATTAAAATGTAAAAACTGATTCTGTCAGGATCTCTGACACGCCATTAAATACCTGTAATGTTTTTGTATTTTATCATCGTTATTGTTGTAATAATTTTCTTTTTATTAGTCTCCAGTAGCAGCTTCTCAAACAGGAATATTTGCTGGTTTTCCAAGTTTTGTAAAAAAAAAAAAAAAATCTTCAAAAAAAAAACAAATGGTGGTGGTAGCTGTGATTGTAGCCACAGCTGCTCTTGGGCAGACTGACACATGCATGACAAATGTCCCTCTTTTCATATTTAAAAAAAAAAAAATCTTCAAAAAAAAAACAAAACAAATAATAACAAATAAATAAACTAAACAATTAATAATAAAACTTTTTTTTTTAAAAACAGGGGAAAAAAATCTCAAATAAAATATAAGAAATGAACATAATGTCTGAAAAAAAATGTTAATGACATGTTGAAAAATAATTAAATATCCCAAATAATAATAAAATGTTCAAAAAAAATGAGTAAAATGTCTTTAAAAAATCCCCAAAATGAGTAATATAATAAAAAACCTCCATCCAGACCGATTAACGTCTTTATTTTTTACATAATTCATGATTTTAATGGAACCTAATTGGACTTTTTTACACTTTTCCTACAAAACAGACAAAAAAACACGTCGTCAGGTCATTTAAAAAAAAAAAAAAAACACCTTAAACTACTAAAAAAGTACAAATATATGATAAAAATCCCTGCCATCAAATATAATAAAAATATAAACACCAAAGATGATTATTTACAGTTTTCAGACTTGTTTCTGTTTATTTCAGCTCAACCTTTAGAGGAAACTTCAAATGCAGCAACAATCATCATCATTCAGAGATTTAATGGGATGAAGAAGTTTGATGTGAACAATAATAATAATAATGATGGTGTTAATGTGTTCCAGGACATATCTCGCTCCTCGCTGGCCGAGCTCCTCCTCTCCGACCTGCTGCAGGTGGAGAACGAGGCTCTGGAGGAGGAGAACTTCCCTCTGGCCGCCGGAGAACCCGAAGACATCCACGTGGACCTGGAGCGAGCCGCCGCCGCCGGGACCGGACCGCTGCTGGCGCCGAGAGAGAGGAAGGCCGGCTGCAAGAACTTCTTCTGGAAGACCTTCACCTCCTGCTGAGCCTCCTCCTCCTCCTCCTCCTCCTTCATCCTCCTCCTCCTCCTTCCTCCTTCATCCTCCTCCTCCTCCTCAGACGCTGTACAGAAACCGATTAGTTTGGAAGATTGTTTAGATTTTTCTGAGCTGATTCTTTCTGAATGTATGAAACTATTTTTAATTGTTGAATAAAATCTGTTTGAGACAAAAACGTACCTGCTTCCTGATGATGATGAAGATGATGATGATGAAGATAAAGAGCTCGTTATTAAAAATCGAGGTAATAAAATTAAAGCCGATGGAGGCTAACGAGCAGACGGGTTTCCGTGGCAACCAGAGGAACAGATTGAACTTTATTGACGGCTGCAGGCTGAATCCGTTCAGTCCGCCGTAAACAGAACAAAATGAGTTCATGAAGTCGGTTTGAGGACCAACTAACGAGTCGGTCTGTCATAAAATCTGCAGTTTCTGAGCTTCACTTGACACGAAAGCAGAAAGCAACAGAAAAAAATGCACATTTGAGAATCACAAGAGCAAAATAAGATAAAAGAAAAGCGTGAAACCACAGATAAAGTGTCGATTAAAACTGAATAAACCTGTAAAATATCTGAAAAACTATTAACAAAATGTCCAAAAAAGGTAAATATTCAAAAAAATATGATTAAAATAAATAAAAGATAACAAGGAAATGAATAAAAATCTGAAAATCTCCATAAAACGTGACGTTTTTCAGGCTCCTGACCTCGTTAATGTTTCATTTACCTCTAAGCTGCTGATTTTAATGCAGCCTTCTTGTACTTTTAACTTTTCACAGTTCGATATCAAACTTTTCCTGCTCTACAACAACATACACATAAAAACACGTCATGCTTCACGTTAATCTTCAAGTTTTCTGCGTCTCAATCTGGTTCAACTTTACAGGAATCTTAAAATGCTCCTTCATGCAGTAAAAATGTTAATAATCCGGTGATTTAACACTAAAAACACTTTAAAAGGGCTTCGATTGGGCACGGAAATGTGTGTCATCAGCGTCGCCATGGAAACTGAAGGTGTTCCCAAGTGGCAGCAGGTGAAGGTTGAAAAGTGGAGGATCCACAATAGAACCCTGAGGAACACCACGACTCATTTCATAGCTTTGAAATGTGTTTGAAATAAGACCTGAAGAGGTTCTGTGGCTTTATGTGGTCACTTTGTGTGTTTTAGTGGTTGGTTTGTGTCTTTTTGTTCTTTTTATTTGCATCCTTGTGGTCGTTTTGTGTCTGGTTTTGATAGTTTTGTGTCTCTTTGTCGTCATTTTGTCCTTTTTTGTTGTCATTTTCCATCTGTTCTTGTTTTGATTTGTGTCTTTGTGGTACTTTTGTGTCTTTTTATGGTTTATTTTTGTCTCTTTAACATAATTTTGTGTCTCTGTAGTTGTATTGTGTGTTTTTATCATAGTTTTACGTCTGTTTTTAGTAGTTTTGTGTCTCATTGCGGTTGTTTTGTGTCTATTTTACATCATTTTGTGTCTCGTTGTGGTCGTTGGGTTTCTTTACTTATCAACTAGAAAACTACAAAAAATACGTTGAAATGAGCTTTTTCCAAACATTTCCAGACTTCAGTCAGAGTCTCTGCAGCAAACGTTCGTCTTTTTAAGCGATTAAACTCAAAATATTTTAACAGAATCTTTAATGAGACGTGAATTTGTAAACATGTTATAATAAGAAATATGAAATGTGACGATTACACGGCAGCAAAAGCAGCTTCTTTCATAATAAAGGCTTCTCTTTTCTTTTTTTTAGATTTATTTTCTCACATTTTACAGGTTAACTGGAGACTCTTTGTTATTTTGGAGGCTTTCGTCAGTAAAAGCAGAGAAAAAATCTACAAATAAATGGATCCAGTACAAGAGCAGCGCTTCATAACAGCTCCTAAATGTCAGAAACTCAAGCTGAGGACGCTTCAAACTCAATTAAACCCAAAATGTTCCACAGTTCTGACTTCCTGTTGGTTCTCTGCTCATCTGAGTCACATTTGAAAGGATTTAGGGTCAAATAACTTCACAAGAGGCTGGAGTTTTGCACATTATTTGTGTTTATTTGTCGGTTTGCAGGTTAATATTTTGTGATTTTGGTGATTTCAGCTCTAAAAACAACAGAAAAAACCCACAAATATCAAAAGAAATGTCAGACATGTAGAATGCGGAAACTTGAAACGTGATTATTTGTGTTTAAAGTCGCCTCAGTTTCACATTTAATGTCGTTTAAACTGACGTTGGTGGAGACGGACGAGAGGAGTGAGCTGGAAACATCTGTCCTGATGTTAGAGTCAGCNGTGTGTGTGTGTGTGTGTGTGTGTGTGTGTGTGTGTGTGTGTGTGTGTGTGTGAAGCAGCTGCTGCAGTCAGATTAGCAGCTCCTTTCACTCATTAGCTCTTTGTTAAGAAAAGCTTTCAGGAATTAGAGCTTAATGGCACCTGATGACTGACTGACAGAGTCTCGGGTCACATGACCACGTCTGAGGTCACGTGACCCGTCAGTCCTCAGGAGGAGGAGGAGGAGGAGGAGGAGGAGGAGGCGATGATGTGAAGAACTTCTTCCTCGTCAGACGGCCTCAGAGCTGGATGAGTCACGGTGAACATCTGGACTCGGCAGTGACATCGAGTTAATTTCGGTCTCCGGTTAAAACCTGCAGCTGCATTCCTGAAGATAAAGTCACGTCTGCACACAAACAGTTTGGTCCTGATGGTTGTTCTCATGTCTGTTTACGTTCTCAGTCTTCCAGGTGTTTTTGTTTTTAACTCTCCACCTTCATCTAAGAGGCGTCTCTGAGTCTAACCGACAGCTGAGGTCCCAGATATGAACTGTGATCCCCAAACACGAGACTAAAGGCCTTCAGCCACCTTTAAACCACCTGCTGACGGATTTCTAAAGGTGTTGAAGTGATCAGACTCTATGTGGGGTAATGACCTGTTGTAGGGAAACTACCTGGTGGAGGATTTTTTAATGTGTTGATAGCAAAGAAAACTGTCTGGTGAGGGATGACTTGGAGGGTTAACACTAGAAACTACCTGGTGGAGGATTTTTTAATGTGTTGATAGCAAAGAAAGTGTCTGATGAGGGATGACTCAGGGTGGTAATGGCTAAAACACATCTTGGTAGAAATGACTTGTTGTGTTGGTCGGTTGTGAAACTACCTGGTGTCTGATTTCTCAATGTGTTGATAGCAAAGACACTCTCCGATCACTCGTGGTGAAACCACCTGGGGAGGGATAATGTGAGGTATGAATAGTGAGTAAACTACTTGGTGAGAGCCTTGAAGCGATCAGACTCCATGCAGGGTAATGACTCGCTGTGGTAATAGTAGAGAGACGACCTGGTGGGGGATGGACTGATGGGGTAGTTGGTGGTGAAACTGCCCAGTTGGGAGATTTGTCAGTGTGTTGATAGCAAAGAAACTGTCTCATGATGGATGATGTGGGATGTTTACAACTAGAAACTGCTTTGTGATGGAAAACTGAAGGTGATCAGACTGTATGAGGAGTCATGACTTGTGGTAATAGTAGAGAAACTACCTGATGGGAGATGATTCATGGTGTTAATGGCGACTAAGCTGCCTGGTGGTGGGTTAGCCAGAGTGACTACCTGCTGGAGAAGAGCTCAGAGTGTTGACTAAACTAAAAAGCTGCCTGGTGAGCGATTGGTCAACGTAGGAGACGACTCAATGTGTGAATGATGGCGATACCTGTGGGGGTTAAAGGTGTGGAAGCTGTTCAATGAGTAAACATTGGAGGTGTTGATGCCTGGTGGGGAACTACACAGGATGGTCTACAGGACACCTGGTGAGGAGGTCCAACTGCTCCAGATGTTAAAACTTCCTGGTGAGGACGACTGGACGAGGTCATGGTTGTGAAACTAACCAAGATGGTAACGGTGGAGAAACGTTGTGCTGGTTTTGCTTTTATTTGGATGTTTTTAGTCTCTATGTGGTCGTTTAGTGTCTTTTTAGGACCATTTTTTGTCTCTTTGTGGTTGTTTTGTTTCTCTGTGTTGTTGTTGTGTGTCTTTGTAGTTGTTGTGTGTCTTTGTGTTTCTGGTCATTGTGAAGCTCTCGGTTGTTTGATCTCTGGCTGCTGATCCACCTCTGGTTTAAACTCTGCGAAGAAATCACAAAAACAATCTCTCAAAAACGTCTAGAATGAATGTTCTGATGTTAACGAAGCGACATCATGCGACTCATTCTTCTACATGTTGAACACGTGTGACACACAAACAGTCCTGGAACTTTCCGATCGGCCCGCATCCCTTCAGTCCAGTCAAAGATCCTGTCTGTTATCAGTTCACTGAAGGATCCTGCATGTTGGAAAGTGATGCAGCCGTTTAAATGTGATCTCTAGAACTCCTGAGGCAGTTTGGAAGCTGAGCGACTGACGTAACCCGACACCTTCATCATCTTCGTCACCTTCATCCCGCCGTCGTCTTCGGCGGCGGCTCTTGAGGTGAGTCTGCAGGTGTCTTCAATCTCCGACAGGAACTGCGCTGATGTCACGCACCTCTCGGCCTCGTTAGGAAGCGAGCGTTTCTTAATAAACAGGAAGCGGCAGCTGCAGCCGCACAAAGGGCCCCCAGCCGCCAATCAAACCCTCAGCCAATCAGACGGCGGCGTTTAAACGGCTTCAATAAAAACCTTAATGAGCTTTAATTACAGCTGAAAGCTCCACTGGAAGACGACACTCGCCGCCTCTTAGCCGCTTTAGTGTGTGTGTGTGTGTGTGTGTGTGTGTGTGTGTGTGAATAGCTGCTGATGACGTGTTTCACCTTAAAAAAGACGATTCATTGAAAAACAAAAAGACGACTAATCGCCTGCCGTGTGCAGACACACACACACACACACACACACACACACGCGCGCGCACACACACACGCTGAGGAGGAGGATGATGTCACAGAGGTCGGAGGTCAAACTGCCATCGCCACGTCTGGACCAATCACAGAGCGCCGATAACAGGGGGAGACAAAGCCGGTTGCCGCGGCGACGTTATCAGCATCCTCCAGGTTCTGGAGGTGAGTCAGAGCGGTGCATGATGGGTAACGACGGCCGGCGTGGGTCCAGTCTGCAGGTGGACGATAGAAACTTCATCTTTCAGAGAGTCGATCCACACAACCAGGTTTAGAGAGTCACAGAGACGCACAACGACACACAAAAAAGACACAAAACACGACAAAAAGACACAAAACTTCCATAAATGGACAAAAATAAAAATGGACACAAAATAAACACAAAATAATAGCAATAAAGAAACACAAGAACACTGCAATAAGACACAAAACAGCCAGAAAAGAACACAAAATAAACACAAACACACAACATCCATCCATCATCTCTACACCTTAATCCTCACTAGGGTCATGGGGGGCTGGAGTCTATCCCAGCTGACTCAGGGTGAAGGCTGGTCCACCTGGACAGGTAACCAGTCTAAAACTGAAGAGTTTTACTTCATAAGTCCTTCGTCTGATGTTTCCTCCTTCATTGAGATACAAGGAAGGAAGGAGGTAAAAAGGAAGGAAGGAAGGAAGGAAGGAAGGAAGGAGGTAAGAAGAGAAGGAAAGAAGGAATGGAGGAAGGAAGAAAGGAAGTAAGGAGAGAAGGATGGAAGGAGACAAGGAAGGATGGAAGGAGAGAAGGAAGGAAGGAAGGAAGGAA